CCTGGAAAGGTGCTCGGCTCTAGATACTTGTCAAAGGCTCCTGAGCAGAGGTGGCCACATCCTTGGTGCCTCAGGCTCTGTGGACTCAGTTGTCGGTGCCACTTGCTGTCTGGGGTTTGAACCTTCTCCCCCTGGCCAGAATGGGTCCCCCATCCTCATCTTCTTGGAGCACCAGAAACCTGAAGGGCACACATCCTTACTTGTTGGATGGACTGGAGGCCACAGGAGACAGGGAAGGGGAGCTGTAGTCACCGTCACCCTTGGGGAATGGGGGGCATCATTGAGAACCCCCAGCTTGGTGTCAGAACTGCAGTAGAGAATGAGACAGGTGCTCCAGGTTAGGCATCACCCAGGAGAGTGTGGGGACCTTTGAGACAGTGTGGTACCTCCTTTTCTTATAAAATAATCCACTCTAGGACCTGGGAGGGGAGTGGTTCCCATCAGTGTTCCCTTCAGACCTGGAAGAGGTCCCTGCTGAGCACCAGAATTGCTGTGATGGGGTGCTTGCTGGAAAGGTCTGAGGCTGAAATGCCCCCCACCCCATAGTGTAGTCAGGGTGATGGAGGAGGATAAGTGGTATCTTTGGGGGTAAAAAGTAGAAAATGGGCCGGGCGTGGTGCTGCACGCCTTTAATCCCACCACTCGGGAAGCAGAGGCAGGTGGATCTCTGTGAGTTTGAGGCCAGCCTGGTCTACATAGTGAATCCAGGCCCCTGGGGCTACAGGGAGACTGTGACTCAAAAGGGAAAAATAGTAGAAAATAGTCCAAGAGGGTATGAGACAGAACACTTGGCTCTTGCTCTCTCTCTGAAAGGACAGTCTGCTGTGCCTGACCACTTACTGCCAGGCCAGATCCCCACACTCTGGTGTGCTTGCTCCATCCTGGAATAGAAGGGCTGGCCATCCCATGAACTGATTCTGTGGACTGTGGCTACTGGCTGCCTCTCTGTTCTCAGAGGGCAAACCTTGGTTAGGTAGGTCTCACTTGGATCTGTTCAGTAGTATAGACTTGGACCCCACTCTTGGCTCTAACTGGTAAACCTCTTGGTGGCTTTTCTCTAATTCTGGAAGGCCCAGTTGTTGGTTAACTGATGGAAGTTAAGCAGTTTCTCTGGAGTTTTCCTGTGGTATGGTGGCTCGGCCTGCTGTCCTGTGTGGTTTGACTGTGGCCGCTGAGCCCCTTAAGGCTGCCTGCGAGTTAATGGCTTACAACACTTGTTCAAAGTGGTTCTATTGTTTTTGTTTTGAGACAGGGTCTCATGTAGCACAGGCTGGCCTTAAATTCTCCATGTGGCCAAAGATGACAGGTGTGGGCTTTCACACCTGGCTTTTGTTGTTGCTGCTACTGGGGTTTTGAGGGTTTTTGTTGTTGTTGTTTTGAGACAGGGTCTCCCTGTAGCCTTAGCTGAGCTGACTTGGAACTTGCTATGTAGACCAGGCTGATCTTGATTGCACAGAGATCTGCCTGCTTCTGCCTCCAAAGTGCGGGGACTAGAAGCATGTGTCACTACACTGGCCAGCTTTTTGGTTTCTTTGAGTCAGGGTTACCCTGTGTAGCCTAGGCTAAGCCTTGAACTTGCAGGGACCTCCCTGCCTCTGACTTCCAAGAGCTGGGATGGCTGAGTAAGCTGCCGCATGACTCAATGTTTTGAAATCACCATTTCACAAACTCTTGTCACTCCTGCTGGGCTCTCTGGGACTGGGGTGTGGCTCAGTAGAAGAGGCTTAACTTGCTGCTTGAGGCCCTGGGTTCTATCCCAGTGCCACAAGAACACCCCCAAACAAGAAAATGCTCCTTTGGACCCCTTCACTTTCCATGACTGATTTAAGGTGGAACCCAGAGCCTGCACCTGCTAGGCAGGCACTTGGCACTAAGCGACATCCCCAACAATCTTTGTACTTTTTATTTTGATTATTTATTTATTTATTTATTTATTTATTTTGTTGTTGTTTTGGTCTTTTTGAAACAGGGTCTCCCTGTAGCCCCAGTTGGCCTGGAGCTCACTATGTAGACTAGGCTGGCCTTGAACTCACAGAGCTCTACCCACCTCTGCCTCCCAAGTGCTGGTACTACAGGTGTGTGTCACCACGCCTGGCCTGTTTTGTTTTGGTTTTAGGATAGGGTTTTCTGTAACCCCAGAACTTGATATGTAGACCAGGATGGCCTCAACCTCATAGACATCCACCTGCCTCTGCCTCTGAGTTCTGGGATTAAAGGCATGCACCACCACACCCAGTTTAGTTTTTATTTTGAAGCAAGGGTCTTACTAAGTTGTCTAGACTGACCTTAAACTCACTCTGTAACCCAGACTGGCCACGAACTTGCAATCCTTCTGCCTCAGCCTCCTAGGTGACAGGCCTGGCTTTGCCTTTGATGTGCAGTGTCTTTAGGTTGGGTTGGACCAATGTGCTGGGTACCCTTGGGGCAGAGGTGCTTCCAAACTCACTTTCCACACGCTGAGTTGGTGACCAGCTCCGCCTCCTGTGGCTGGCACCAGGGCAGCAGGCAGGCCCCTGATATGGGCCTCACCTTTATCTGGACAGCCTTCCACAGTGCTGGCCATGCAGGACAGAGGCTGAGTTGTCCTGACAGAGAGTCCAGGCCTCCCCGAAGAGCAGAGGCCTGAGGCCGAAGCCCAGCTGAGGCCAGGTAGGCTGGGGTGAGATGAACATAGTGACTGCGTTCCTGTGTGTGCCTAGCCACCAGGTGGGGACTTGGGAGGGGTGCAGGTGTGCTTCATTGTCACTTGTCAGGCCCATCCCTGGAACTTTTGGGGAGGCAGCTAGGTCCCTGGAGCCGCTCATCTTTTCATGCTTTTGAAGAAGTGACTCTGACCAGGAGGGCTTGGCATTTGTCCAGCTCTTTTCTGCCTCATGTGTTATCCTTGAATCAGCAGAGGGCTTAGGGAGGGTCCCTGAACTCAGACCCCAGCAAAGGCTCTGAGGGCTACTTTGCTCCCTTGTCCCAAAGAACCCCAGAAGCCCAGCAAGGTGGGTGCACTGGGAGAGAGCTGGGGGGCAAGTCTGCTGACCAAGTGGCCTCCATTGAGTGGAAGTGGTCAGCTGACCCTCATGGGGTCACTTGGGGGCAAACTCCCATCTTGTGCTCATCCTGTCCACCCAGGTGTGTGCTCCAGCTGAGCCCTGGCCTGTTCATCACATCATGGTACCCGTGGGTCTGACCAGAGGCCCCTTTCTTCCAGGCACCTTCCTTTTCCGCTGCTGGCGGTGGCCCCAGGGGCCCGTGAGCATGCGGGTGGGAGGGGCGTCCTTGTGTGGGAATGTGAGCCGGCTCTGTAAACAGCTGGTGACTCACCACATAGCTATGTCACTGACGCTGTTGGTTGAGTTGGAAGAGATGCCCAGCCCCTCCTCCCTCTGCATGGAAAACTTTCTCAGGGCTCCTGGGCTCCCAGGCGCCTGGCTCTCTCTTATGGGGTGGTGGAAGCCCATGGCTTCTAGTGCCATTGTAACCTGGTTAGGCAGGAGAAAGGCTATGGATGCATGCCTTGCCTACCCCGTGTGATCTCTTACCTCCGTTAGATCATCCCTAGCTATTCTAGTCCCATCTTGGGTCCCAGATGGATACTGTGTCAAGATGTACATGTCAGGATGTATGCTGGCTCACCTGGGTCTCTGAGCCGGCCCTGCCCTTGTCCTGCTCAGTCCACTGCCAGCACTCCTGAGAGTGGCTGGCGATGTCACCAGGGTGCTGGGTGTCCACAGCCCAGAGCCAAGACCCTGTCTCTCATTGATAGCTGTCAATGGGTGTGATGGACTATGGAGATGGGCCCCATCAGAGATGAGGCCACAGGGTCTGTGGGGAGGGGACAGTGGGGGTCATTCTCTGTCTCGCTCATGTCTGTCCTCTTCACCCTCCTTTGTGTGTGCTCCTCTGATGTCTCTTGCACTGTGCTTCTTTGTCAGGGTATGGAATATAATAGGGGTGTATCCCATCCCCCACAGAGACCATCCCTGTCTGTCCCTCCCCAGTTGTTGGGGAATGAATGGGTTTGTTTACTGCCTGACAACCTCGTGTTGTCTTTCCGCACAAGCCTGACCCTCGAGTCAGGATTGTTTTGGGGCTTCTCTGTTACTATGGCGACCATTGGGGCTGGCTACTTCCCAGGGTCGCCATGGCAACTATCAGAGGGGGAATCATGCTTGGGATGCCTTGGCTGGCTTTTTCATGAATGATGAGAGTGTGTGACACAATGCAGACTGGAGAGTGAGGAGAGCGGGTGAGGGGGCTAGCAGGCGGCAGAGGGGACAGGTCCCACCACACAGCCCAGTAGGGCAGCTAAATGTCTCTAGCCGCAGCCTCTGAACCTACTGCCCACCAGGAGCCCCCCACCCATTCTTGGGGGCCTTGGAGGTCACCGTGAGGAGCCAGGGTGGCTTGGGAGGAGTGGTGATGTCACAGCTACAGTGCCCTTCACTGTGGTAGGTGTCCCGTGAGCTACGAGAAGGTGGGGCTGGAGAGGGGTGGCAGGTGCTCTGTGCCTGGTCAGTCTTTGGGGTGAGTGGGATTGCTTCTCCCTCCCTGGGGAGCTGGGATTGGAGCAGCAGGAGCTCATGCTGAGGCAGAGACTATTCTGAGGGTGGTCGAGCTCCTTTGGAGCTGAGTACTACAGCTCTTAGAGCTAGCTTTGTGGCTGGTGGATCCCTTTGGTCTTGAGTATCCTCAGCACCTGATATCTCGTCTAAGTTCAGGAAGGGAGTGAAACCAGCAATTGCTCACGGCTGGCAGTTATCTCACAGTACTGATGGCTTCAGCATACACTGGGATGGGGGTCAGGAAAGCAGCTTCTGGGGACCACAGGCCCTGACTGCTGGAGGCTGATCCTGGAGTGTGAGGTACTGCTAGGCAGAGGCTGTCTTGCCAGGATGCCTCCTCCAGGAGCCCCTGAGGATGGGCCCATCTCCTCTCTGGGCACTATACCTGGGAGGCAGTGCACTATCCCCAGCCCACTAACCTACACTGCTTCTGTGTCTCTCCAGCTACAATTTCCAGGTGGTTCCTTTCTGGTGACCGGGCCCGGGTTATGACGACTAATCCCAAGCCGAACAAGGCATTGAAGGTAAGACAGGCTGGACCAACATGGCCATGACAGTCACTGCCTTGACATGGCAGGGGAAGTCTCTTCTGTCCTGGCAGCCCCTGCTTTCCCAGCACTTGCCCCTAGAGGGGGAACAGCCTTGTCCTCGGGAGCCAGGGAAGGACCTCTGTTGGGAGGAAGTTCCTGGCAGAAGAGGTGTGACAGTGTTGCCAGAGAGGTCTTTCATAGGGGGCAGGGGGGTAGGCACCTTCTTCTGCCTAAACTTGTCTCCCAGTGTCAGATGTGGGCAGAGTGGCCTTGGGTGTCCCAGCTCTTACTACCTGCCGGGTTTTCTCAGCTTCTGCCACTAGGGGTGCCCCTGGACCGGCTTTCATGCCTAGAGGCTACCAAGAGCTGTGCACAAGGCCTCTTGGGAGAGAGTACTCTGCATCTCCAAGTTCCCTCCAGGTAGCCATGATCAGCCAGACCCAGGCTTTGCCCCATTGGGTGGGCGGCAGGGAAGGGTGGCTGCTGTGTCTCCCTTTTCCTAACCTAGAAGGGCTGAGCAGAGCACTTTGATTGGCATTGGTAAGCTCCCTTTGCATATGTCTCTTAGGCGACCAGGACGTTGGCCGTGACCTCCTTCTTTTTTTTT